TGCAGTTAAGCAACTTAGCCCGACGTTGTAATAGTACTAGTACTGCTGATAATAATAGTATATAAATCTGCTTATTATTACCCGTAGTCTTGCTATTATTGTTCTTCTGATTCTTCATATTGCCTTCCTTCCTTCCTGCGTTCTTCCTTCCTTCCTTCCTTTCGTCTCCCCTCGTTCCTTCCTTCTTCGTCCTTCCCTCCTTCCCTCGTTCCTCCCCTGCCTTCCTTCCTTCCTTCCTCCCCGCTTTCCTTCCTTCCTTCCTTCCTTCCTTCCTTCCTTCCTTCCTGCCTACCTTCCCGCCACATCCGCCGTCACCCCCCCCGGAAGGACGAAAAAAAAGCCGAAAAAAATAGGGTCCCCAAAATACCCCGTACTGATTCAACGATGTAGTCATGCCTGTCTCTTTTCTGGACAAAACGAAAGCACATGCAAAAGCCCCACTGTTGTGTTGTGCTTTCATTGACTACATTTCTTTTGGTGTATGGTGTTTAGCTTTGCTGATCGTTCAGTTTCTTGGCATTTGGCAATGTCCTGATGTACTTCTTGTTGGTACCGTTGATAGTTGTAGTCATGTGCAAAGATTGGGCGACAGGAGTGAAAACATGCGGGTCAAGAGTAACAGAACAAGTATGCCCAAATACGCATATATATATATATATACCTGTAGGGAGCATGCGTTCGCACTTGCTGGACATGCAGGTATCGATATGCTGTGCTAATGGACATGATGTTCTCACTGGGACTCATTTTTGAGCATGAATGTGCTTCTCTATCTTGCAGTGTCAATCCTGTGCCGCACCGTCTGTTGAAGCAAAAGCCTGAAATGGACTAGGAAGCTTTCTGGATCACGTAGTTCGCATGAGGTGAGATGGCTGCCTCTTGCACCTTGGCCGCACTCACGTTTGGGGACCTTCTATGGGACCTTCAAAGAGCCTCAAACAAACTCCTACTTCTACAAGTGTCCTCCCGTGTCAACAAAAACAGCCATACATTTGTTCAGTTATTCACACTTACTGTCATTTACTAATTGTTTACCTTTTCAGATCTATCTCCGTGTATCTACCTAACCTATCTGTCTACCTATGAACCCATCTATCCGTCTGCCAAGGCACGTGTCCATGCAGCTCCCTTGCCAGCAGCGCTGCAGTCTGCTGGTCAGCTTCGAGGCCGAGCTGGACGAGCCGACATCCTGTTGCATGCTGCGCCAACTGCCACACATGACCCTGGATTGTGGCCAGTGCTTCCTGAACTTCGTCAGCGATTCCGCTGGCCAGTTTGGACCTGAGGCTGTCGCAGCGATCCAAGATGGAGTCGTAGGTGGCCTTGGTGACCTTCTGGAGACGGCCAGCTGACACCGGCACCCTGTCACCAAGCGGCAAGGCTACTCGCGTCTGCTCGACGGCCGCGAGGGCGGCTCGCTCGGCGGCGCGCTTGCGCCTCATCCTTCGGGCGGCGCTGGTGCTAAGCTTCGGCCTCTCCTCTCCCTCCGCCTCCCTATCCTCCCTCTCCACATCCGAGTGGCTTTCTGGGGTGGCCGGGACCTTGTTCCGGGGCGTCACAGGCCCACTGCCCTGGCTACTGTTGTCGCAGCAAACCCGCATCACGGGTGGCTGCACCTGTGGCTGTGGCTGGAAAACCACGGGGACCTGGAGTTGTTGCATGCCTTGCATCTGCCCCTGCATCTGTGGCTGCACAAATACACACTGCTCCGGCTTGCCGTAAAAAGCGGGGGCCGGGACCGCCTGGTACGAGTTGGGAAAACAGTTCACGTGGTCGGCTGGCACCAAGATGCCCACGATAACCTGCTGTGGGAAGGGGTTCTGCATCTCTCCCATGGCTGGACCTTCACTAGTCATGGTCATCGGACGAGTTCTCTGGCGAGGAAGCCTTGCTTCGTGCCTCTGGGCTTGATTAAAATTCGGCTGAGAGCCGCAACAGAATCGCGGCAAAGGCCGTGGGAGCAGGGTAGAACAGGTGCATACCCTTTCCTATGCTGCCAGTGCAGTCCTATGACAAAGAATCCGAGGCATCGAGATTGTCACGACCGTCCAAGCTATCTTTTCCCGACAGGCTCATGCTTTCACTGGGTCACCCAAAGAGCATGTCAAAGTCGTCCTGAACAAGGTTCTTGGGCGATCCACGAGATTGTTGCCACGCAACCACAACAACAGGCTAACCCTCAATCCTGACTTAGAATATCGTAGAACTGCTCAAAACTAACTCTCCGAACCCAGCTCAAGTCGATGGCCTGCTTTTTGCCAGGGCCACTGGCGGTACTTGCGGCAGGCGGCCCGGACGGACCTTCAAGTGGGGAGCCCGCTGGCGCTTCGGTTGTTCTTTCCAGACAGTGTGGTAACACTCGGGCACAGGCCCTCTCGCCCCGCTTCAAGCACCAGCGTCCATCTCATCGCTATCATCATCATTATCATCCTAGTCTCATGCCCCTCAGCATCATCGCCGCAAACAGCAAAAAGCTAAGGTCTCAGGCGGGGTTGGGGTTTTAGACTTGTGCGTTTAGCTCTTGGGTTTTGCCACCACCATCTCCTGTCAGAGTTCTGAGTTCGACAAGCACCATCTCGTTTTAGGCTTTTGTCAACCAACATCTGCTTTGAGGGTGTCAGGCTTCTCAACAAACACCTCCTTTTAAGTGAATTTTGGGTTTTGGCAGGCAACATCTCCTTTTGGTGGTCTTGGGTCGTGCCACCACCTGGTGCTTGCCAGCTGCCATCCCGACCCTCGCTTGGGTTTTTCAGTTTTGCCATCACTATATCCCTCTTGGTTCTTGGGTGTGGGTTTAGGGCTTCTCAACCAACATCTCCTTTAAGGTTTTGAGCTTTTTCACCACCACGTCCCGTTCGGGGTGTTGGGCTCGGCAACCAACATCTGCTTTTCGGGTTTTGGGTTTGGCTGCATGATGCACCTCACGCGTCAGCCCAAAGCTCGGGAGCGCAGCAACTTGTGTCAAAAGATCCGATGACAGATCATTTGTTGACAGAAGCTCCGCGCTTCGCCCGAAAAAGAATATTAGATTGATGAGGGCGCGAGGGATACGACCGAAGCCAGTACAGCTTTGAAAAAACTTATTGAGAGTGATAAAAAAAACCTCTCCGGCTCTTCGCTGTGATCTCGTTGTCACTGCTTGCTGGTGCTTTGGACTTTGGGTGTGGCCTTGGAGTGGAGAGCTAAGGGTGGTCCGCAATAGCCCTCTCCGTCGTCTTTCAGTGCCTGAAGTCTGCCATGACACATTGGCATGGTTGTGAGGAATGTCACCAAGGACGGCTCCAAAGACAAGCAGCCACAGCTCCCGGTGCTGGCACTAAAACAAACCTCATCCCCCAGCCGGCCGCGGTCGCTGAAAAGGCCTCAAGCCTGAAACTTGGGTGCCCGACTGTCACCAAAAAGGAGATCTTCCGAGCCGACTGACGCCTTCCGCGGCTTTCAAGGCTTGAGCAGTCGAGAGTCAGGGATGCATGGGACCTGGCCAACAGGCAGCCTGGTCTGGCTCCGTCCAATCGGAATTTGACCCCAGCAAGCAACAGGATCGCTGTTCCCTGTGTTAGAAACCATCATCCCTCGTGTATTCAACTGCCTGGGGTTGTTTTTGCTCCGTCAGTTCATTTTGCCGTTTGGTGCTTGCTCTCCCGTTCACTCACTCCCTCACTCACTCGTTGTCGCGGTACATGTCGTCCATCGGTGCATGGCTTTTTGCTGCGTGCACGAAGAGCCGAACAAAAGGAAACGAAGCGCTCTGCATCTCAAATAGCCCGAACAAAAAATGATGACACGGATTCTGTGCAACCTTTGAACATACAGTAGCCCCGACACCGAGCTCGAGTCCTTCTTAGCTCCGAACCAATCACTAATTCTGAGGCTTAGCTCCCAGCTGCTTGCGGAGAAGTGTCCGGCGAAGCCTGTCATGACCAAATCCAGCTTGTAAGGGACTGCACTACACGTAGTACGACGCAGTCGCGGTGCTTGCAAAAAATCCCACAAGCCGAGCGGGTGACCGAAGGCACGGATGGGGCACGTTCACCCGGCCTAGGGTCCGCTTGGGCTTGGCGTGGCCGGAGAGCACACAAGGGAAGCGTCGTCATTCGCTGAGCTCAGGAGACATGTGCTCGTCTGCGGCTCCGAAGGGTCTCAAGTGACTGTGACAAGATTCCGAGCAGCTTCGCACTCCAACAGATTTCAAACTGCGCAGACGACCCCATGGAAAGGAATCGTTTCTGCAGGATTTTGGCACTGAGGTGCGGACAATTCGATGCTCCCAGCTGAAAACCACAAAAATTCATCACGATCCAAACATGATAACTAATGCTCATCATCACGAGCATCATCATCATACTGTCCATCACGAGGGCCAACTTTCCTAAGCCAACAGACATGGCTACAATAATAGCACTCGCAATGCCTAATCACGACACCCTCATTTTGGCAACAGCGGGCCAGAGAACCACACCAAAACAAAAAAACACATGACAGAATAAGGGGTCCGGCAACCATCTCAGTACAAGTGATCATGAGACCGAGCACCCAGTTCATCATCGGGACCGTTAGGATCATTATCATGACCGTAGATCTGAAATTCGGCACTTCTCCATCGGCTCGGCAGCTGGCTTGCTGCTGGCACTGCCCCAGTTTAGTCTAAGCACCTCAGCTTGGGACTTTGGCCGAGGAATGTCAAGAGGACTACCATTGCTCTTGGCATTACTCGTATTGTGATTAGTTTTGCCCACGACACGTTGGCGACGACGACGACGACGACGTGCCGCAACTGCTACCACTACCACTACCACCACCACTGCCACTACCACCACCACTACCACTACCAAGACCACTACCACTCCCACTCCAGCTGCAGCTGCTGCTGCTACTGCTACTGCTACCGCTACTGCTACTGCTACTGCTACTGCCACTGCTGCTACTACTCCTTCTGCTGCCACTCTTGCTACTCCTACTCCTACTACCCGCACTGCTGCTACTACTACTACCACTACCACTACTACTACTACTACTACTACTACGACGACGACGACGACGACGGCGATGGCGACGGCGACGGCGACGGCGACGGCGACGGCGACGACGACGACGACTGCGACTACGACTACTACTACGACTACGGCTGCTGCTGCTGCTGCTGCTACTACTACTACTGCTACTACTACTACTACTACTACTACGACTGCGACTGCGACTGCGACTGCGACTTCGACT